TTTTTTTTAAGCAAACTGGTAGTCTGCATTTATTAATGTTAATATTATACTATCCTTTCTATTCAAATCTATGTCTTTATAATATCAGCAAATAAAAGGATAAAAAGGAATATATTTACAAATGATTTTATTCTTCTTTTACAGTATGAAGCATGGTTAAATGAGCAGCCAAATCTTCCTCAGCTCGCAACGGTAAAGAGTTCTATTGATTCTGCCCGTTCTAACATGGCTTGGGGCACAGCAAACGTTGACAAAATCATCGCTGCCACCAAAAGTAGTGCAACAACTACTGTGACGTCACTGTTCATGTTAGTCGCCATGACAGTCCTTCTACAGATTGTTTAGAAATATTTTTAAGCCATAATTGTTGTACAATTTTATTTTTGGAAATAAATCGTTTTTATTGTTATTGTCTTTTTGATTTATTTTTGTGATTGATTCGTTAGTATGAGAAAGACTGCTGAAGTGTTGAGCTCTCAAAATAAGTTAAAAGTGAATTGTAAAAAATGTAATTGTAATAATAATTGATGATGAAAATAATAGACATAATCAAGGAACATTAAGGTCATTCAAGGAGTTGAGATCAAGAACACGCACATTGTGTAAATGTTTGACAGTGTTTTCCATTTTAGAATAATTTTAGACTCAATTTCGCCTTTTGAGATTTAACTATGTAATGGGGTAGACGACTAATTTTTATTTTAATGTCCGTCTGGTAGATTATTTAAAAACATTAGACACGTATTTTTTATTTTCTTACGGAAACGAATAGTTTCGAAGATATATTGATTTGAAATGTCGCGTGACGTCACTTCTCAGTACATTTTATACTAAGAAATGACGTTTTAGCCCCCACTCCTAAACTTTGATTCGTTTTATCTAAGTATTGTTTTATTATACAACAAAATAAAAAAATATGTGTCTAATATTTTTTTATTACCTAAGTTACGGACTAATTATATTTTTAATTTTCATACCCCGTCATCATCCCCATTCTTTTATGTAACACAACATAACATCACGCCTTTTATCCCCGAAGGGGTAGGCAGAGGTGCACATTATGCCACTGTATAATGCCCACTTTTCACTATTTATGTTATGAGTCCTATGTAATAGAGGGTGAGCCTATTGCCATATACCGGGCACAATTCCAGACTCCGTGCTACTACTGAGATTTTTTTTAAAAACCCAGTAATACCTTGCCCTACCCGGGAATCGAACCCGAGACCCCTTGCCCGGTAGTCACTGTCCTTCAAGCGACGTGGCCTGTCCATTTCAGTCAGCAGATTTTGCAAGCTAAGTCGGTAACTCTAGTTCTTTCCCGAATTTTCATATTTCGGATTTTGTCGCGCAAAGAAACCCCGAGCATAGCTCTCTCCATCGCATGCTGAGCAACTTTGAGCTTCTCCAGAAGGCCAGAGATCAGGGACCTAGTCTCGGTACCATACGTCGTCCCTAGTAACACGGGCAACTATATATTACGTAGTGTCTACTAAGTAGTTTGATGAGTTCAATTTTTACTGAAAATTATGGGTTACTCAAGTAAATATACTCAGAGAAGCTCTTCTAGTTGTGTAGTACTTTGTGACTTGAAACTAGTAGTGCTTGTCTTAGTATATAATAATTACGCGAGCAATTCGTAATTTTAAGTTAAAAAATCCGGTTTTTAAACTACCTAAAACTATTTATCATTCAGTCAAAATTATATTATCGTATCTTAAGCTCACACACCTTTATGACGAGTTTAATGAGAAAAGTAGATGTTTAGGGATTTCCCCTCTCAGATTTTAAGTACAAAATGCAGCAGTTACCGACTCTTAACATGCTGAAATAAAATGCATAGAGATATGAATAATCATAATCATAATCATAAATCATTTATTTCAAGTAACCAAGACTCACAAAATGTTAGTAAAACTTACATCTATGTTAGTATGTAATCACAATTGTTTTATAGTAGGTACAATAAAAGTTTTATATTATTATATCCTACATTAATCCATGGGAAATGGCATTACATCGTCCCATGTATATCAGTCTGCTCGCAATCATGCTCAGGATACTGTTGGACCTGGCCCGCACCCTGCTCACCAGGGAAGCACACCTTTTGCGCATTGTTGCATAAAAACAGTCTATGTGTGCATCTGCAAACATTCCTGATGCGCTACAGAAGCGGGGCAGCCCCACCAGCACCCTAAATGCATTATTATATTGAACACGGAGAGCGCTGTATGACCTCTGCGCAAACCTAGCCCACAGGCTGCATGTATAAAAGTTAGTATGCCCTGAAGAGGGTGAGCTTGACTTCAAGTGAACACCGTGCAAAGCTGCGAGCTATCATGTTTGCCCTAACGGACAACGCTCTCCGCTCACGTTCAATGTCTGTATCGTCCTTGAGGTCGGGGGTCAATATATGACCCAGGTATTTAAACTTATACACTATGTTTAAAGGCATTCTGTTAAGAAATATAGGTGGTATATTTTTAGGACTTTTACCCCCAGCCCCAAAGACCATAACTTCCGACTTTTTGCAATTGTAATGAAGAAGGTAAATACTATTTTCGTATTACAACTTTTGCGGGACATACTAAATTAACTCGTTAGACTGCCTGGTTGGCCGACTGGTCGCAAGTCCGACCGGGTCAAAGTCAAAGTCAAAATCATTTATTTCAATTAAATCAGAAAAGTACTTTTGAACGTCAACAATAAAATATGAAGTGAAATGTGGGTTCGATTCCCGGGCTGGGCAAAGTAATACTGGGTTTAAAAAAAAATCTCAGTTGTAGCACGGAGTGAAGGGGGGAAATCATTCAATGACTTCTCCCGCCCGGGTAAGGCGGAAGGAAGTGTCAGACTCTTACTCTTGAAGTGTCAGAAGGAACCACCCCGTTCCTACTTCTGCACTTCGAGCCGGAGCCCGGCAACCCGTTAAGTCTTTCGCGGCTCCGTATCGGCATCATACCTGTTGGGCCCCATCTGTGGTGGTCTGATATCTGGTGCGCGCGGAACGCGACGCGCCGTACGCTCGGGCCTGGTTCTGGCCGAGCGGCGAGCCACCCGTGCTCGCCGCCTGCAGGCCCGTGCTTACGGTGGCTGGAGATCGTCTTGCGATCCCCGACGCCCGGAATGTATCTCGCGACGGCTGGGGCATGAGAAGGTTCGTTCCCTCACGCGCTTCGCCTTCTCCTTAGCTAGCATGACTGCTTCGCAGAAGGAGGAGACGGCATCCCAGTCCCCCTCCGTACTATGGTCGATCGCGGATCACATCCCCTGAGGAAACGGCGGTGCTCAGCCCACGCAGGACACACCACACACTCCTTCGGGCGATCCTTGCTGTGATGAATTAATATAAACCCCTAGCATGGCTTGGGACTAGGCGAGTTCCTCGTCAAATAGTTACATGAATTAGCCGGAAAGCATATTTTAATATGTATGATAAATATTGTTATCTTTACAATGTTAGGAGGATGTCCTGATTAATTTTACAAAATAAGATGAAATCGATCGTTTTTTATAAGATGTACGCGACTGACTCATTCTATATCCTTGTCGAAAGGTACGCATTTTAATGTTGCCTACCCGTTATAACATGACAACATTATATGAGTCCTTCGTACATTTTTAAAACGAATGTTCATATTGTACCAAGTTATCAATGTTATTGCTTTTATCAATATGAATATTGTTTATCTTGGCCTCGTATTGACTGCCTCGTTGGCCGAGAGGTCGCAAGTGCGACTGCCAGGCAAAAGTAAGGGAAGGGGCGGGCGGAAGGGCTTCGATACTCGGGTCGGCAAAGTATTACTGAGTTTTTTTTAGAAAACTCAGTAGTTGCACGGAATTTGCAATTATGCCCGGTATATGGCAATAGGCTCACCCCTGGGACTCATAACTTAAATAATGAAAAGTGGGTGTTACGTTATACAATTATATATAAAAATGAAACCCGTTTCCCTTTGTCACGGCATAATTTGAGAACGGCTAGATCGATTTGGCAGATTTTTTTTTGTTGTGTTCGTTGTTATCAGAAGAAGGTTCTTATGACTGAAAAAAATCCTGAAAATCCTACGGGAACGGGGGAAAACAGCATTGCGCGTACGAAGACGCGGGCAGCAGCTAGTATGTAATAAAACCAGCATGAAATAATTGCTATCAGAGACCTTCTCTAACTTCTGACCTAACTGGTGATTGACAGTTGTTGGGTATCAAAAGCAGAAGACTGACCGCAATATCTTATTTTTGTAAAATTATCCAACTGAGGACTCAAGTTATTTTTTTAGTGTTATGTCTCCTTTTTTATGGAATAGGAGGCAAACGAACAGACGCATCACTCGATGGTAAGCGATCAGCACCAGCCATGGACACCCGTAACACCATAACAACAGAGGAGTCATAGGTGCATTGCCAGTTGGTCTCCTTATGAGCTTATGAGCCTTTGTCTACCGGTATGGCATACCATGGTTCTATGCTTCAATTCAACCTTCATGAAGCTTCATGAAGCTTAGATTGTTGAGCCCTGCTCCGAACAAAATCAAGAGTTCCCAGTTTTAAACGTAGCACAAGAGTCATAATATTACACACCATATGTTCTTTATTACAAACTCATAGTTAAAACATCTTGGTAGAAAATTCAATAGAATATCTTGGTTATGATGTAGAATACTAGATAAGAATTTCGAGCTCTCCAAGGCACAGGACAGTCACAAGAAGAAAAATGGCTGTAATTGTTTGTTTTGTCAAATAAATAAATAAAGACGAACTCAGCTTATTGATGTACAAAGGTGTTGAGATCATGGATTTTTGAACAGTAAATTTGAATGAACAGGATGTTTATCTACAGTTATGAGAATTGTTATTGTTGGAGTACATGATATTAGTGCCTTCACGGATGTCCTGTCTCAATTAGACCATGAAGCCTGTTTGAACGTGTCGTGCTATAATTTTACTGAATCATTTACGAAAATTTTTTTATCGATATAATTTGCGTTATCAGAACCTTCTGACTGATAATTCTGATAAATATTATTATATATTGTAATCTACAAATGACTGTGGATGTTAACATATTGAAATTAAAGTCATTTCGTGTGGTGCAATTGCGAAACAGGTACGTGTCTTTAATTTTTAAAAGTAATTCGATCATCTTTACATTTTTTTTTTAGTTCTTTATAATAAATGAACGAGGTTGTACGTGATAGTTTTTGGGAAGTTTTGTTGTATCGCAGTTACGTTAGAATGTAAGATAAGGTAGTATCGTAAGCTGAGAGTGTTAAGTAACTGTTGATTTGTGTCAAGTTTCCTAGACTTAAAACGTAGTAAACATCCTACAAAGGATGACTGGCGGAATATAACTACCGACCAAATATATGTCGTTAGAAAACTCTTTTCATGAGTATTATTTGTTATTACGAGAGTTAGGCTCAATTTGTTGTAGGAAAAAATATTGTAGTTCTGTCCTTTGATTAAATACTTATAAAAAATGCAGTGCCTTAACATTATCTTGATACTACATGAAGAACAAAGTACACATCAATCGTTTATCAAAAATGATTTTATCAGTGTAAGTAGGTGCTAAGCTATATAATGGATATTACCTATTTGCCAAATATGTATGGTTAGTATCTACACGTATATACTCTCATTTATCCGTGGACGTAGTTTGTATTAGTTAGAATTTGTTGTTTTTTTATGGTAAAGTATAAGAAGGGAACACGTATTGGTGTAAGAGTCAGAGCACAACCGTCGAAATAGATAATTCCTTTAACATTTTAAAAAAATGTAAAAATTGCAATGCTGCCAGTCTTTTGGGCATGTTCCCCACTCTCCAGTGACATTGATGCGGATCAATTCTTTGACGCCTAACTGATGGCCTAACTGATTGATCTATTTTAGTTAATTTTAAGTTATATATTTATTTTTTTTATGAGATAAGCCGTGTATACGGATCACCTGATGGTAAGCAATCGGCGTCGCCCATGGACACCCAAAACACCAGAGGCGTTACAAGTGCGTTACCGGCCTTTTAGGAATTAGGAGTTTGAGGATTGTGGGGGATTCGGGGATTGGGAAGACTGGGGAAGCGGGTAATTGGGCCTCCGGTAATCTTACCCACACGAAGAAACACACCGCAAGCGTTGTTTTACGTCTGTTTTCTGTGAGGCCGTGGTATCACACCGGTCGAGCCGGCCCATTCGTGCCGAAGCATGAACACTTTATTTATTTATAATGTGTATTATTTGTAAAAAGATTTCTAAAACGTTTTGAAAACATTAGCATATTCCTAAGTAGGTATTTTTGAAACGAATATTCTAGGCTTATTAGTATTTTAGGTATGATTGTGATTTACTAAGATAATTTCGAGATTTCGACTGCACGGTTGGTGCGGTGGCTGGGCAACCGGCTGCCATGCAACGTGTCGCGGGTTCGATTCCCGCACGGGACAACACTTTGTGTGATCCACAAATTGTTGTTTCGGGTCTGGGTGTCATTGTGTATGTGAACCTGTATGTTTGTAAACGCACCCACGACACAGGAGAAAATCCTAGTGTGGGGCAACGTTTAAAAAAAAAAAAAAATTAGTATTATTTGGCGAGACATTTAGTGTTGTTATACAGCTTTTAATTATGATTTAAAATCAATTGTTATTCCAGCACCATGCGATTTACCGGTGTCATCGTTTTGGCGCTAGTCGCGTTTGCATGGGCTGATGGACCTCTACCATTGGCCACTGAAGATGTGGGAACCCTCACCACTGCGGCAGATAGTAGTTACCGTCTACCTGAAGACTTGGACCCTATCAGTTATGATATAGAAGTAACTCCATACTTCACTGAAGCTACCACTCCGCAAGGAAAAGAACAATTTACTTTCGATGGCATCGTCTACATTGTTTTCGATGTAAGCAAAAAGTTTTTATTTTTTGTATAAATTTGTAGTTTCAAACAGTACTTTTGCTATCGACGATGCATCTCCAAAAATAGGGAATCATTTTGAGCCTTTGATTAGTTTGAGGTTCATTTATGTTAGAGTACTATTAACAATATCAATATAAAATTACGTTAGTAGTGTTGGTTCACAAAACAATTCAATCGAAATGCAAATTGTTTTGATTGGAAAGTAAAATATGGCAGTAATGACCTTCTGAAGACTGTTGTTGGCATTTTGCAGACGCTGTAACAGAGAAGCTGTTCTTTTTTAGATGCTCGCTTCTATACATTCAATGTTAACTTTACATTCATCTGTTTTATATACAGGTGCTGATTTTTCTAGAGGACGAATGAATATTTTCATATTAACTCGTCGAGTACCGTCAATGTAGACACAATTATAGAACAATAGGTTGCGGTCACCGGTGACCGCTTGGTGTTTGACAGTTTAATCACGATAAATGCTTTGGACATCGTTTATATATACTTATCATTCTATACATTCTTTTACAGGTTCTGAAACCCAATCTGAACTCTTTTGTTATACATGAAAATGTAAAATCTATTTCGGCAGTAAGATTATTTAAGAACGAGAATGATGAAATCGTTAATTTGCTATCTGGCCAAGAATTTGAACGTGACAAACAACATCAATTTTTGAAAATTAACCTAGCTACCGGCACTACTTTGGAAGTGGGAACGAAATACAAACTGTTGGTTATCTACGTAGGCAACATCAACGAAACTCCTCTCGAGAGGGGTGTTTTCAGAGGAAACTACAAAGACGAAAACGGAGTTACACGGTGAGTTAAAGATGTATAATATTTTTTAAATTTCTTTCTTCAACTCAATGGCCAAACGCCATCACATTAAATATAAAAAAATAACTACAAAAATTAATATCCCTCATTCTTTGTTGGCTGCATTTTTGGCCGAGTTGTCGCAAGTGCGACTGCCGGGCATAAGGGTCTCGGGTTCTATTCCCGGGTCGGGCAAAGTATACAGGGTTTTTAAAATAATCTCAGTAGTAATAGTACCCTGCTAATATTGGAGTCTTGAATTGTGTCCGGTATATGATAATAGGAACACCCCCATGTAATAACATGGGACTCATAACATGAATAGTGAAAAGTGGGTGGTACATTGTGCAGTGGCATTAAATGCCGTGATGTGCACCTCTGCCTATCTCTTCGGAGATAAAAGGCGAGATGTTATGTTATGTATATCCACGCATATTGGGGCAAACAAAAAAAAAATGGTACTCAATATAAAAATGTCACACTTCAAGGTTGATTATGCTAAGATAAGACGGTCCCCCAAAGGCCAAAAAAGGGGGGTAAAAGGCGTGATGTTATGTTTTTTTTTTTTTCAAAACATTTATCTTTCTTTGTTAATTTGTAATCGTATTTATTTACTACCGTTTTTAATGTAGTTGTATATCTTTCTTAAAATTTGATGATTTGTTTTATTTTATACCCATGCACTATTAATTAATATGTTTTTATTATTTTGTTTTGCAGTTGGTACCTGGCCACTCATCTTCAGCCCACTCACTCTAGGCAGGCTTTCCCCAGCTTTGACGAGCCCGGATTTAAGTCCACTTTCAAAATTACCATCAACAGGCCAGCTAGCTTCTCTGAATCATTCTCCAACATGAAGTTGCTACTTTCAATACCGTGAGTTATTTGTTTATTATGAATCAACCTTTATTTACTTTTAACGAGTGGTGCGACTGCCAGGTGAGGGGTCTCGGGTTCGATTCCCGGATCGGTCAAAGTGATACTGGGTTTTAAAAAAAATCTCAGTAGTAGCACGAAGTTTGGAATTGTACCCGGTATATGGCAATAGGCTCCCTATTACATGGGATTCGTAACATAAATAGTGAAAAGTGGGTACTACATTGTACAGTGGCATAATGTGCACCTCTGCCTACTCCTTCGAGGATAAAAGGTGTGATGTTATGTTATGTCAGTTTGACTGTTGAATCTTTTTCATGAGAATATCATATATAATATTTTTTTTATAATAAATAGTTTAATGAACAATTCAAATAATGTCTCTCAATACGGCAATAAGTCTTTTTAGAAAATTTTGAATTGATAATAATCGAAATTGCCAACTGTTCTATAATATGAAGTTGATATTGAGATAATGGAAACATGAAGTCATGCTTGTTTACAACATTAATATAAATTTTAAATCCCTTATCACAATACAGTCTTTGATAAGATGAGGAAATTAAAATTCCGCATGGCAAATACACACATTGATTCTAATGTTTTAACTGATATATTAATTTGGGTATTGTAAAATCTGTAGCCAAAAGCAAAGGCACTTACTGTGGACATATAGACTCAATCCTAATACGAAAAACAAACTTGCGTTTAAGAAATATTCTTCGCGTTATAGAAAAATAATACGACTAACCCAAAAGGCACAAAATAACAACTACATTAATACATCGAACAATAAATCAAAAGCGGCTTGGCAAGTCATTAATAAGTCAAAATTCAACTTACCCCAAGAGCCAATACTTTCAATTGAGAAGGATAATGTACTTATTACGGATCCGGCGATCATAGCAAATGAATTTAATGACTATTTTGTGGATATCATTGAAAATAATATAAAAACTAAAGGAACATCAACCCGTAACTACATTATTCAAAATTCGAATTCACAGTCGTTATTTATGTCACCAGTCTGTAATTACGATATTATTAAAATAATTAGCAGTCTAAAAAATACAAATACCGTCGGTGCCGATAATATATCAACTAAGGTAGTAAAACATATAAAAGATATTATTGCTCCTGTGTTGGCTCATATAATAAATCTTTGCATTTCAGACGGTTTATTTCCAACAGGTCTGAAAAAAGTTATTATTAAACCCCTTTATAAAAAAAATTACAAAACTTGCCTTCAAAACTATAGGCCTATTGCAAAGATATCTGTATTTTCTAAAATTATTGAGAAGGTAGTTTATAATTCTATATATTCATATTTTGAAAAATTCAATCTTTTCTGCAATGAACAGAAAGGATTTAGAAAAAATACAAATATTAATATGGCCTTGTTCGACTTCATCTCTAACGTAATGGCATCCATAGATAAACGAAATCCTGTTTGTGCTATATTGACTGATATGACAAAAGCGTTTGATTTTGTTAATCATAAAATTCTGCTGCAAAAATTACAGGGGTATGGAGTGAGAGGTAATATTCTGAAACTCATAGAATCATATCTGAGTAACCGATCTCAATGTACAGAAATCACCAGAATATGCCCTGCTACTAAATTAGAGAAAAAATATTTATCTAAACCAAGGTTTACAAGATATGGTGTACCACAAGGCAGCGTCCTGGGGCCACTACTTTTCTTAATTTATATTAATGATCTCCCCAAAACTATAGATCACAAAATGGTGTTGTTTGCAGATGACAGCACTGTTATTGTGGAATGTAATAATTATAATAATTATCAAAATGACATAAATAATTCATTGAATGACATTATAAATTGGCTTGACATTAATAATCTTATAATTAATTTAAATAAAACAAAAGTTGTACATTTCCACCAGCGTCGTAAACACTTACCGTTTAATGTAACTTATAATAACTGTATAGTGGAGGAAGTTACAAGTGCGAAATTCTTAGGCATTACCATAGATAATAAATTAACTTGGAGACCTCACTTAAATGAAATATGCACGCGTCTCAGTAAGTCTGCATATCTTTTATTCCAATTAGCCAAGAAAGTTGATACTAATACACTTCTTACGGCCTATCATGGATTGGTCGCCTCTATTATAAGATACGGTATTATTTTTTGGGGGCATTCAATTGATAGGGAACTTATATTCAGAAGGCAAAAGAGGTGCATTCGGTCTATGTGCGGTCTGAGACAGACGGATAGCTGCATTCCATACTTTAAAAAGTTTAAAATACTTTCTTTACCATGTATGTACATATTAGAGGTGGCGATATTTGTTAAAACAAATCAACATTTGTTTCAAAAATTCTCAACTGTTAAGAGGACCCCTATTCGTGCACAATACGAAAATTTATTATGTACATATAAATGTAAAACTGCCCTACTAAAAAAGAGTGTCCTTGGTATTGCACCAATTATTTTCAATAAAATACCAGATGCCATTAAATGTTTGCCGATACATAAATTTAAACAATCTCTTCAGATGCTATTACTTGAAAAATGTTACTACAGCGTAGATGAATTTATAAATGATACTTTGCATTGATTGTGAGTTTCAATTTATTTGTTTTTCTTTATAATTATTACTTTTTTTGTAAGTATAATTTAATTTAGCCTGAATGTGGACATATTGTTTATTATCTTGTTATCTATAATATTTATAATAATGACATCTTGTTTATAATTTTGACATATTTTGTTCACCAATTGACATAATTTAAACTGTTTGACTTGTGATTTTTAAATTATTATTTTTATTCATTTACATTAAATTTTTTTTTTCATTCAAACTTTGACATTTGATTTTGTATAATTATTGATTGTAGATTGGTATTATCTGCCTAAAGTAATGATTTAGTACGCCATCAATGGCAAAACATGTAGACTCTGTACTAACCAAAAAACACCTGCATTGTAATTACTCATGTTTTACTAAATAAATATAAATAAATAAATAAATAAATAAATAAATAAATAAAAAAATGCTATAAAGGTGATCCCGCACCGGGAGCATTCGCGTGTAATGTACCTTGTAATGATACAATGTATAATATCTTGATGCAACTTGTAACATCAATGCGCCCCATTTCCCCAAGCATCTGCTATGATATACTCAAACTCGAATCAATATGTTACATTACACGCTAATGCTCGTTGTTACATTACGCGCAAATGCTCGTTAGTGAGGGAGGTATTATTGTAATGTAATACTCAAAGTAAATGCTTCCGGTGAGGGTGCACCTTAAGCCTATTCTGTAACTCTCAGTATTGCCATATCATTGGTTGTGAGAACAATCTCGACCAATGACGGGCGAGAATGCGATTGAGCTTCGAAAGTTCAAATTGACAGTTACAGTTTAACCTAGCTGTATGTTCTATTTTGAACAGAACTTATATAAGTTACTATAAAAATAAAAGACAAGAAAGGGGATTTCTTATCGTCTCTATAGCTTTGCATCATTTTTATTACAATAACGGTTATAAATACTTAATCGACTTGGATAAATGCTGCTAGAATTTTTATATAATTACTCTATAATACTCTTAATATAATAAAATAGCCCTTTATTCAGATCCAGCTTACACCTGTTACATAATTTAGATTTGCCTAAAATTTGCATTACTTAGGTCTAGTATCTATAAAATACCTATAACTTATTTTCTGGTTGTTCTGTTTGCCGGTCGACAAAGGCCTCCTCCAACCTTTTCCATTCATGTCGTTCTTGAGCTACTCTGTGCCATTTACATGACCAGTTACCCCCTGCCACTTGCCTGAGGTCATCATCCCATCTTTTAAGAAGTCTACCCCTTTTCTGGTTCCTTATATATATTACTCTTAAGTAGGTAATAATTTTGGCAACCCCATAAACTAGACAGAAAATTGATCTGACTCAATTGTTATCAGAATAGTATTCACGTATATGTATGGATATCTATCTACAATATGAATAAACCACAGCTGGCACTTCCCTAGTGATAATAATCAGATAAGCTAAGAGTGTAAGCATAAATGAACAAAATAATCAATAAATTTCGTGAACCAGTCATGCGGAAAAACTTGATGAAAGCATATTAGTCACTAACCAAAAATTTCTGCTACCTTTCTCTTGCTCTACGATTTTGAATCACAAATTGTCATGAGTAAGGTAAAATGTTCGGAAAAATTAATTTAACAATTTAAAGACACATTAAGTATGCAACAATTGAATATTTAGATAAATAAATCAATACATAGTATAAAACAAAGTCGCTTTCGCTGTATGTCCGTATGTATGCTTAGATCTTTAAAACTACGCAACGGATTTTGATGCGGTTTTTTTTAATAGATAGAGTGATTCTTGAGGAAGGTTTGTATGTATATACATATTGCACCCGTGCGAAGCCGGGGCGGGTCGCTAGTACCTAAATAAGAAATGTTATTGACTGCACGGTTGGTGCGGCGGCTGGGCAACCGGCTGCCGAGCAACGTGTCGCGGGTTCGATTCCCGCACGGAACAACACTTTGTGTGATCCACAAATTGTTGTTTCGGGTCTGGGTGTGATGTGTATGTGAACTTGTATGTTTGTAAACGCACCCACGACACAGGAGAAAATCCTAGTGTGGGGCAATGTTTTTAAAAAAAAAAAAAAATTGTTTCATGTTTATTTAATCATGTTCAAAAATTTGCATAAGTAAACTTATTCGTCTTTATTTATTCCACGGTAACGATGTTTACCTTAAAATTTGTTTTACAGCCAGGGAAACGAGCGCATTAAAGAGATCTTCGAAGTGACTCCAAGAATGTCAGCTTACTTGGTGACATTCCACGTCAGTGACGGGTTTAAAGTAATTGCTGAGAATAAGGACAATGAAAGGTCTTACAGAATTCTCGCAAGATCTAACGCTGATGGTCAAGGAGAATATGCTTTGGAAATAGGACCACCTATAACCAACTGGCTTAGTACATATCTGAATATCGATTACTATACTATGGCTCCGGGTATTAAAAATGACCAGATTGCCTCACCGTACTGGGCTTCTGGAGCTACTGAAAACTGGGGATTAGTGACTTACAGGTAATTTATTAAACCAATTTTACTATACCTTATAGCCCTGCTTTGTACATTGTTTTCAAGTTATGTTTTTTTTATAGCATAAGTAGGTAAACGGGCTGACAGATCGCCTGATGGTAAGCAATCGGCGTCGCCCATGGATATCTAGAACACCAGAGGCGTTACACGTGAGTTACCGGCCTTTTGGGGTATAGGAGTTTGAGGATCGTAGGGGATTCAGGGATTGGAGAGATTGGGGAAGGAGAGGGGAGTAATTGGGCCTCCGGTTACCTCACTAACACGACAAAACACAACGCAAGTGTTGCTTCACGTCAGTTTTCTGTGAGGCCGTGGTATCACTCCGGTCAAGCCAGCCCATTCGTGCCGAAGCATGGCTCTCCCACACTTAAATATCAAAAGAAACTGTTCATTCCCTAATCAACTTTAAAATCGTTTGGCGAGTTTAACTATAAAATATAGTATACGTAAATGGAAACTGATCTAAAATATAACTAATATAAAATATACTTATACATATTTAGAGCTACCATAAATGAAGAAAACGTTTATTTGGCATAAAAGGAACTTAAAATAAATTTATAAACATTGATTCTTTTAGGGAACTTCGTCTGCTCTATGAAGAGGGTGAAACAAATGCTGCTGATAAGCTTTCTATCGGTACTATAACTGCTCACGAACTTGCCCACAAATGGTTCGGTAACCTGATCACCTGCAGATGGTGGGACAATGTCTGGATCAACGAAGGTTTCGCTAGCTACTTCGAATACTTCGCTATGGATGGCGTAAGTATATTTACCTTTAATACTTTAAGTCATACGATAGTACATTTTAACGCGTTCGTTTAATGATAATAATGATTGGACATAACATCACGCCTTTTATCTCGCAAAGGGTACCACCCGCTTTTCACTATTTATGTTATGAGTCCCATGTAATAGGGGGTGAACCTATTGCCATACCTATACCGGGCACAATTTCAGACTCCGTGCCACTACTGAGAATTTTCAAAAACCCAGTAATACTTTGCCCGACCCGGGAATCAACCCGAGACCCCTTACCCGGCAGTCGCACTTTTGACCAATCGGCCAACGAGGCTGTCCTTGATTGGAACGAACATTTAATTTTAATTTAATTCATTTGAAAAGTTAAGGAATATGAGCCATGGAGTGATAGCACCTAATAAAAAATAATGAAATTCATAAAGATCGTAACTGAAATGAGTAACTCTAACCTTTATATATATATTTTTAGGCATACCCTGAATTGGAATTGGCCGATCAGTTTAACATTATGTACGTTCAAAGTGCACTGTCCGCTGACTCGGCAACTAACACCAGAGCTCTACAGCATACCGTCAATAGCCCCACGGATGTCACTGGTCATTTCACTGGCATTAGCTACTCTAAAGGAGCCTCCTTCCTTCTCATGTTGAAGCACTTGGTCTCTGAAGAAACTTTCAAGCAGGCTTTATACAATTTTTTGGATGACAGGTAAGCATACCGTAATTTATAAAGCAAATAGATATTTTATATAGGTAACCTAATTTTACAAATTCATAAGAAAAAAAAATAACTTATTTTATGTAAAATTACATAATTATAATTATTGTTCTTTTTAGAAAATACCAACACGCCTTCCCATCACATCTTTTCGATGCTTTTGCAAAAGCATTAGCAGATAAATCTGAAGAAGGTATTGCTCTGGATATCAGATCGTTCATGTCTTACTGGGTCTTTGAAGAAGGATACCCTGTCCTCAATGTTAAAGTCAACAGCGAAGCTAACACCATCGAACTTGAACAGGTAAAAAAAAATTAAACAGAAACGTAAAATAAGTATTAAAAATAAAATTGCTTGCATTGGGTTGGATTGCAAGCTAAAACGAAATTAATACTATTAGGAGTCAAAATTTGCAGTATTCGTTATAATATTTCTTGTAAGCCTGATAAGTCTCACACATTAGTAATTAGTAATATATTATATATCCCCATGTCGGTTTTGACTACGGCAATGAGTTTGTCTCATATACAGATGGAAGACCACGTAGATTTAATTAGAATAACTTTCTCTAGGATCGATTCTTCATCAGTCCATCAGCGTCTCCCACACAACAAGTTTGGCCCCTACCAATTACATACACAACCCAAAGTAGCCCGAACTGGAACAATCTCAGTCCTGTCAAAGTAATGACTACGAAGACTGACACTCTCCAAAATGTTGCAACTGGCGGCTGGGTTATCTTCAATGTGCAACAAAAGAGTAAGTCCATTGCAATGTCAAATGCATTCTGAATTTTTAGGTGCTAGGTATAGTTTGAAATACAATTGGGTACTTTCCTTAATCAAAAATAAAATTATATCGACTGTTCAATACAATACAATGTTAAAAATAATCACACTTTCATGATCGAATTAATTTTAGCATTGTTTTAGCATTTTTTAAGAAATAAGTACTTAGGCTGTTTGACGCCATAAAAACGTGACGTCACAATACACAATATCGTACAAAATTCATAGAAAACTGTCGTTTTTGATACTTGGCAAAAAGTATTGAATTGGACTAGATGGGAAATACCCAATTACTTGTAACTTGAAAATTTTTCTTTGTCTACATTAGGCAAATGGCATAGAATGTATATAGGTATATATACTATATATTTTAAATAAAAAAAGCTTTGTATTTTTTAAAATGGTGTCCTATAAAATATTAGTATTTTGTAGAACTGCATAACAAAACGTTTTACTTATTTTACATTCTATTTGTGTTTAAGATATCTACAGAGTGAACTACGACACTGAAACCTGGTTGAAGCTCGCAGAACAACTTCAAACTGATCACAACGCTATTCATCATTTAAACAGAGCTCAGGTAAACTAGAATATCTGGAACTACTACTTCACTAAGAGTTACCTCAAACCTGTCACCTTTACCTATGCTTACACATGGGTTATTTTTTGTCATTTTTGGAAAATAAAAAGTTATTACTTAGGTTTATTATTTTTAATATGCTACTGTTACTATCGCGTAAAATCAAACCTTATGAATCAATACATAGTATAAAACAAAGTCGCTTTCGCTGTATGTCCGTATGTATGCTTAGATCTTTAAAACTACGCAACGGATTTTGATGCGGTTTTTTTTAATAGATAGAGTGATTCTTTAGGAAGGTTTGTATGTATAATACATGCATATTGCACCCGTGCGAAGCCGGGGCGGGTCGCTAGTATTGAATATAACAGTTTTGTGTAACTATAAATGTTAAATGTAAATATAAATGTTTTCATTCTATAATCAGTTGTGGTAATTGACTTTATATTATTATGTAGATAGATAGATTCTTATCGTCCTCCATTTTATAGAGGTACATATTAAACACTAGCTACTCCCGCGCGGTTTCACATGCTCTGCTCGGCTCTTTTTGGTCGTAGCGTGACGTTTTATAGCCTATAGCCTTCCTCGATAAATTCTCTATCTACCACAAAAAGAAATATTTAAATCAGACTAGTAGTTCCGAAGATTAGGGCATTCAAACAAACAAAAAAACAAACTCTTCAGCTTTATAATATTATTATAGATAACAAGTTAACAATGGGCAACGTAATCATTTAGAGCAATCTCTTCCAGACAGCCTTAGGATGGATATTAATAATAATATATTGTTTTCAGATTGTGGACGACGTTTTCGCACTCATGCGTTCTGAAAGGTTGTCATTACAAGTTGGCTTCCAAGTTCTGCAGTTCTTGAAGAAAGACACAAGCTTCTACGTCTGGTATCCAGCAATATCCGGTTTTAACTGGTTGAGGAATAGGCTCTTACACACCGCGCAACTCCCTACCTTCGACGTAAGTTTTCTTATGAGTTACCCAATAAAGTCAGTACCGCTTCAAAGTATTTGATATGGAATGTCGTATAAAAAAAATGTCGATTTTAGTAATTCGCTCGCAATTTCTCAGTAATTTTTAGATTCCTTCCCTAATCTTGTACAAGTATTTAACAAATAAACCAAATCAGTGGTTTTCGAGTTTTGGTGAACTAACGAACAGTTATTTGATTTTGCTTGACCTCTGTTGAATTTTTTATTTGTAATAATTTCGTCCATTTGCATAACTTTTTGTTTTTTTTTTTTAGAGTCTCCTCTACAGCTACCTTGACAACGTTATCCAGGATGTTGGCTTCGATGTAGATGCTAATGAACACATCACTAGGACTCTTAACAGATTCTACTTACTCAACTTCGCTTGCAACATCGGTCACCAAGAGTGCATCAACAATTCTGTGAACAGGTTTAGGAGTTACAGATTTGGTGATCTAGCTAGGTAAGCAGTTTCTGTTTCTGTTATATACTTATGTTCTTCTATTTCTTATTTCAAGAAATAAGATTGGAGTGGATAATGCAAAATTTAAATATATTTGCGAATGTGTGTTTGCTTGCTTTACTTTTACGTCATCACAGACCGTTTGTGCGCTAGCGGGTGAAGCTGTAAATCGAAAAGATAATAATTAAGCAATAAATAAGTCAGAATTGTAATTCAATGTAGACAGATAAGTGACAAAAATCATATAGTTTTCTATACATTTTATTACGAATATGCCAAAAAATGTACAAATTGCTGTTCTAATGGACACAGCCAATTTCCTAGTGGTTTTATTAAGCCGTTACTTAGTAAGATTACCTCTTTATCATCATGGCGATTTACACATGGTAAATAGAGGTTAGTCACGCGATCCGTATTAGTACATGGTTTAGGTGTAACATAATTGACTTTGAAGCTTATCGATACGTGTTTCATGCATGATCTTCTAAATTATATAAAGTAGTTGAGTTATTTTTCAAGTTATTAATTACTGCCTCGAATTATCTACGTATCATGTTTCGTTTCAGTGTCAATCCTAACGTGAGACGTCATACCTTCTGTGAGGGTCTCCGAGCTGGCAACTTTGAAGACTGGAGCTACATTGCCAAACGTCGCCAGGAGTCCAACAACCAGGCTGATGAGGTGGCAATGTTAAGAGCTTTAGGATGTGCTACGAACGATCAAGCTAGAAACGAGTGAGTACTCTGTTTTGCACTACTTACATTTCTTATTCTTATAATTACTGTTTTTATGACTTGCTCATAATTTTATCTTAACAATTATTCAAGGATAGTTCATATTTTTGTTATAAAATTGTGACACTAAGTGAAAATAATTTACCATGAATAGAAAATATTCCAACTTGCAACTTGATGCAGTTTGTTAGTTGCATTATGGAACATGGATGAAGTGTAATGTTTTAAAACTTTTACTATCTTATATTCTCAGGTACCTGAAATTAATCTTAACTGAAGACGTTAAGGCTCAAGATCGAGTGAACGCCTTCACTTTCTTCTACATGGGAGACGCATCTAACGCTAAATACGCTATACCATTCATCAAGGAAAATGTGAAAGAAATTCAAAAAGCGTAAGTTATAGCCAATAATACTTATTTTATTTCAAACTTTTTAGTGTTTATTATTCTTGGTATTATCATCACTACATAGTTTAAAACAAAGTCGCTATACGCCGTCTGTCTGTCCCTATGTATGCTTAGATCTTTAAAACTACGCAACGGATTTTAATGCGGTTTTTTTAATAGATAGAGTGATTCTTAAAGAAGGTTTATATGTATAATACATGTATATTGGGCCCGTGGGAAGCCCGGGGCGAGTCGCTAGTGTTAAATAAATTTAATATTTGTATATATGATTTAAAAATATACATGTAATCTCATGAGACTCCTATCTTGAGTGTCGAAAATACAAAATACATAACAGGCAAAAATGGGTTTTACGTTACAATGAGTCTATTCCTTAGGGAAATAAAATTATTTACGTTGTGCTCTAATGCTAGTTTTAACATTGTATTTTACTTCTCTTCCAGGGTTGTTCTACCTGCGTGGTTCCAAAATATATTCTCCAACATTGCTGGGTACTTAGATGAGACAGGCTTAGCAGAAGTGAGTTTACATATTTGTAACGTACTATTATCAGCCAGTTTCTTTCTGTCCACTGCTGAACATATACTTGCTTTAAGTTTATAACAAGATTTGAATTTTAATTTTCTTGTATTGCACTGATAATGTAGTCACAAATGTGATAGTCGGCTAACAGTGCTTGTATGGAATCTATAATAGTACCTAATATATGAATTATTATATAGGCACTATTGTGGCACTAGTCTATTAAGGTTTGTGCCTTATTATTTGGGCCTAATGACTGACACAATAATTATGTATAACTTTACCTATCATGAGGTCATACTTTGTTTTACTTTATGACTAATTAATTTAACTCCTTTTTCAGTACACAACTATGCTCGCTTCAATCGAAGTAGAATATCCCCTTGCAGTCATCGCGGGTAGGAGTGCAATAGCTTCTGCTAGAGCGAATATCCAGTGGGGTAACGACAAAGTTGCAGAGATTATAGCTATAGCTGACAATCAACTAACCACTACAACTACTACTACTACAACAACGTCAGAGCCTTCATCTCCCAGTGAAGAACCAACGACTACACCAGAACCTGCTCCAGGCTCCGCCACAGTTGCTTTCCCAGCCACCATAATGCTTTTATGGACAGCATTAGCCATCATGCTGAAATAGAATCTAAGTTGTAATTGTTTTACCACACTTATTTTTATCAAGCTAGCTGTACCCGCACCTTTGCTCACAGAACAATGTAGGTACATAATTTTTGATACCAGTTATGTTTTTTATTCATAATATCAAGCTATATTCTATAGAAATTAAAACAATAGGGCTATAAGGTCGCAAGTACAACTGGTTACAAAACACATTATTTATTATTAGTTGCTGAAGGAGATCGTAATAGTAAAAGGTTATATTATACGCTTGCTTATTTATTGTAAGGAGGTTCTAGTCTCTGTGTTAGCAATATGATAATATATCTATGGTTAGCGATACTGTGATAACAAACAAAATAGGCAGGATGCACTGTGAAAACAGCTTGCATATTTCATAAATAAGTATGTATGTCCTTAAAGTCCTTATTTTTATCCTTAAAGGAATTTTGTTATTACTGTTGTTAAATAAATAATTTTATATTCATAAAATATGCCATTGTTTTTTTATTCTCTTGAGTAGTTGTCTCTAATACATAAACTTTTTACTATAACGGCTCTTGCAGTCGACGACATAATTGCAAGCAGTGCTTTTTATACACACACACAAAAAAAAAACTAACTGTCATAAAAATTCCGAAGTAATCTTAGGAAATTCATATTCAGGAATGATTGACTTATGACACACTTATAACAAGAACAAATTCAGTAATTTTCTATAAGTACATTTTTTTACTACACAATTCATCACAGCCACTTACTCACACAAGTATCCAATATACTATAAATATACATAAATAAAGACATAGTTTCCGTTTTCAAGAGCTAGTTTTATTTGCTTCATTATTGAATGGATTCCACTTAAATATTATAAACTTAAATAACATAATTACGAACAAATATATACAACTTAAAATTAACTAAAATTAAAACAGTAAATAAAAAAAAATGATAAAAAAAAAACAAAAAAATGTTAGTATGCACCAACGCATAACTGGTTAGGTTCGGATTTTAATTTTTTTTTCTGTTGTTGCTTTTTGTTTCTTTTTGTTTATTCACTGTTTTAATTTTAGTTAATTTTTTTAATTTGGGTCTTAAAGCTGGCACGAATCTCCTGACAGGGGTTAATGATGAAGATGATGAGATCCTATTAGTTATTTTAGTTAGTTAGAGAGAACGCCTATTAGTTATTTAACCAAAAAACATTTGAAATCAAAAATAAATGAGAAGAATACAAAATAATTTAAGAACAAAGTAACTTTATTATCTATAGAAAACCTAGGATGCAGAAATTATGCAAGAGGTTGTTCAGTAAGGTAGGTACAATTCTACAAAATATGTCCGATAATACAAGATAGAACATTTTGAAATAAAATCCTTCACCTATTTCAAGTGATTTTTCAATACATACGAATGTAGTATCTCGGTAGGTATCGAAGTTTAAATAACAATACAGTGGTAAATTCAATATCTCAAACATTCTGTACAATGTTATCGATTTAATCTTAAGTCAAGATGTTTGTGTTTGATCAACTTAGTGACAGTTACCATCTAAATTGTTACATAGAGAAGTGTTTGTCAGTCTGTTTTGTTGTAGGCTACAACATTAGCGACTTAGAGTTATTGTATTTTAATATGGTATAAACTCAGGTACTAATTTTAATAATCTGCCTGCAAGCATGTTGGTGTTGCGGGTGTCCATTGGCGGCGCTGATCGCTTATCATCAGGTGATCCGTCTGCTCATTTACTTCTATTATAAAAGCATTGGCCTATTAGATAATTTTAGGTAAAACACTCTTTGTAGTCAAGGACAATAATAATATAATCAAGATTAGCCATAAAACATGGCTAATCATGATTATATTATTATTAAGTAGTATGTTAGTAAGGTCCTTCGAGTTAAGTGGAGTAAGGAAATCTGCAATATGGTTGGCAGTAGTTAGAGCAGAAGATCGAGATCAGTGACGTATACCTTTGGAGAGGCCAATGTCCAAGCAGAGCCAAAAACGAGGTAATGGTGATAATAATTATTACAATTATTACTATTAACAATAATTGTGGGAGAGCCTTGCTTCGACACGAATGGGCCGGCTCGACTGGAATGATACCATTGAAACGACACTTACGATGTTTCGTCGTGTGAGTGAGGTTACCGGAGGCCCGGGAGGCTCCCTTATCCCCAAATCCCCCACAATCATCTAATCCCAATTCCCAAAAAGCCGGTAACGCACTTGTAACGTTTCTAGTGTTTCAGGTGTCCATGGGCGACGCCGATTGCTTACCATCAGGTGATCTGTCTGCTCGTTTACCGGCTTATGCCAAAAAAAACTTAGCTAGACACACAATTAAATGCACATTTGCAACATTAAATAATAATTTACCTTTACAATAAGACTAAACAAAGGTACAATGACGCCATCGCCCTTAAACAGTGAACGACATTACTTTTAAACGATGAACTATAAAGAGTTTTTTAATAAGTGCAACCCATAAGATATGACTAGGTTTGTCGTCGAGTGGTATACAATCTTGTACGATAACACAACACTTAAGATGTTCCTTATCTCAGTCAGAGTAACGACTCATAGATATCTCACGGTACAGTAAAATTACTAACAGTTTGCAGTAGGTAGTATCAACTATACTAGTGAACACGACAGGTTGGTTCATTTTTAATTATAATAATATCTTCTTCTTATCTTTGAATTTCAATTAGATTTCTGACACCATTTTCATTGCATAGGTATCAGTTTTAATTATAACATTCTAAATGCCAATGAAATTTTCGTTTGTTTGAAATATGTTTACCGGCACTTGGCTGTAGATATGTAAGCATGTTGTGTGTACTCTTAGTTTTTTTAGAAGATAGTTTGCTATTAATTAATTATTTTTGACTTAACGTACTCTCTCTAAGAGACGGTAGGGTCCTAACAGTTTATTATATTTTTAATCTGTTTTCTAAAGAACTGGAGAGGTTAATCAGTGCGCTCAGTGTTCGTTTTTTCACCTATTCCATTATATACGATTTGTGTGAATGTATTTGTGTAATAATACAATAAAAATCATAGTTAACGTGATCGAATATGTTAAAGTACCCGCACATTCATGACATTGATTGATTGTTGATTGAAAGGTGGTTTTAGAACACAGACGTTTCACTTTCAATATTCAAAGATGAATGTTTAAAATTCTTAAATACTGTGTCACTAAAATAATGAGTTAATATTCTACTGAAGTAGTGGGTTAGAGTTTAAGCGTTGCCATACAACGTGGCAATGCTGCCAGCCTTCTGGGTTCTTTCCCTATTGACGTCGATGCGGACAACATTTTGATGGTTTTTGTAAATAGTCATTTTTATTTTATTTGATTGTATTGTTTATGTCCTTATTTTAATATTTCAAAGAAAACAACACTGAAGTAGAGCAATGTATATTAGAAGTTTTCCCCTACAGTTTTTAGTACAGTTCTCTTTTTGTTAGAAAAGAGATAAAATTTGAAAAAAAAAAACTTTATTTGTTTATTAAACTGTCAAACACCAAGCGGTCACCGGTGACCGCAACCTATTGTTCTATAATTGTGTCTACAAAACCGGTACTCGACGAGTTAAAATGTATATGTAAGTACCATCGCAACCTCTATTGAAAATATTAGGTATTTTATGATAGGAAAAATTAACGATAGTCCGATACAATGCTAGCTATAAAATTTAATAGTGTTGGAATCATTTATAATTAAAAAAGAATAAAAAACATAGGACACAAAAAATAAATAAAAAATGTCAGAACTTTATTACTCGCGTCGTCCTTTACTTAAACGGAAACAACACTACCTGTTCAAATTAAACTGTCAAACACCAAGCGGTCACCGGTGACCGCAACCTATTGTTCTATAATTGTGTCTACAAAACCGGTACTCGACGAGTTAATAATTAATTTTAAAACTATCGTACTATCTATATATCTCTACATAATATAAAACAAAGTCGCTATCCGCGTCTGTCTGTCCCTATGTATGCTTAGATCTTTAAAACTACGCAACGGATATTGATGCGGTTTTTTTTGTAGATAGAGTGTTTGTTAAGGAAGGTTTATATGTATAATACATGCATATTGCACCCGTGCGAAGCCGGGGCGAGTCGCTAGTCTTACTGATAATAAAAATGCAAAGGTTTGTGAGTTTGTGTGTATATTTGTTACTCAATCACGTATCAAAATGGCGGAAGGTCCAAAATTTGGAATATGGATAGATTACGGTCTGGAATCGCACTTTTTTTTTAATGGCATAAGCCGGTAACCGAGCATACGGATCACCTGATGTTAAGCAATCGGCGCCGCCCATGGACACCTGGAACACCAGAGGCATTACAAGTGCGTTACCGGCCTTTTGGGGATTAGGAGTTTGAGGATCGTTGGGGATTCAGGAATTGGGGAGATTGGGCAAGGGCAGGGTAATTGGGCCTCCGGTAACCTCACTAACACGACGAAATACAACGCAAGCGCTGCTTCACATCGGTTTTCTGTGAGGCCGTGGTATCAGGAAATTCAGAATCTAGCAAAGAATTCTACTCCTTAGCAGTATTTTATCCCACGCGAACACGGGCGAAGTCATGGACAGAAGCTTGTTCTATAATAAAAACGAGAGTGTTACTATTCGTTAAAGAGGTGTATAAATTTAATTCCTTTATAACATTAATATAACTTATTTGTTTTATAAAGAACTTTATTATTTTAATAACATTAATATTTGAATGACTGTTAATGAAGAGAAAATAAACGGACGTCTCATACGTGATCATTTATTTATAGCAATAAAAATCTAACTTCAAATATTTATTCGAATTATCGTGTGGGTAAAGATATGAAAGTTTATTGTATTTGAAGAATATCATAAGGGTGGACTTAAAACTTAACACTATTTATGGGTGTAATTCCAGCCAACGAAACAAAACATAAATTCAAGACACTGTATTTTCTTATGATGTGATGTTAAATCTGATGATTTTTCTTCTCTTGGCCTGATAAATTAATAACAAAACTTCCCTCTTCAGGGTATAACGTACCTGGCATGGTCATTGTGTGACCAAAGATTCTAGAGGTAAATTGTGTAATAAAGATAATAGAAATATCTTTGGTATTTAGTAGGAGGGAGATACATTTGTACGATTTGAGACGTAATCTCATGATAATTACGGTTTATTTTTGTATAAACTCTAGAACTTTTTTTTAATTTCTAACAAAAACTTATTATCTCTTTACAGAAATGTGTCGTTTACTACTGATATTGGCATTAACATGCTTGCTGTACACAAGCGTGACAACAACAGACACAAACTACCGACTGAACACGCCACTGATACCATCCGAGTACCAGATCTTGATAACACCATACTTTGAGACTGGAGACGCAAGACAGTTCACTTTCGACGGTACTGTTAGCATACAATTTACACCAAGTTCCAGCACGAATGAAATCAAACTACACTCTGAAGATCTAATCTTCACTGCTCAAGAAGTCGCCGTAGCTGTATTCAGTACTGGGAACACAATACCCCTGAATGTGGTCAACCCTATAGAATTCAACGCCAACTACACTTTTGCTTATATCAATTTGGCCGAGAACTTGCAAACTGGAGTACAATATATTCTACAGATCAAGTACCAAGGACCTATTAGAACTGATCTGCATGGTTTCTATAGGAATTACTATTTCCAGAATGGCGTCAAAAAGTAAGTTGTATTTTAATATCTTTTCATCAACAATCGACATATGCACTATTTATTTATATATATAGAAATATATAAATAAATATATTTAGTACAAA